GATAAGAATCTCAAGGACTTCCTGAGCAGGCTGGCTTTGAACCTCAGCCTCCTGAGTAGCTAGGATCACAGGCAAGAGCCACCTGCACCTAGCAATAACTTGATTTTATAACAAGCTCGTGTTGTAGATTCTATGTAAGACGCCAGTGGAGGTTTGAGGGGAAGGGTAGAGCTGGAAGAGTCATGTTCCTGCAGATGCGGAAGGCTTCCCAGATGGCTTCCCTTCAAGCACGCTTTTATTCACAGAGCACCCATAGCAATTACATTAATTACAGCACAGACTTGCTTTGTGTTCTCAGTGGAAGAGCTTGGTGTATTTTGTTGGGCTAGGAAGGCAATTTGCTAATTGAAGTAAGTGGAAAACAAATTTAGTTTTGAAGCCCTGTTTTTGAGATTTAAATTATCTTTTACCCTTTTGAGCATAGGTTGGGCCCTGGGTATGATTCTAGCACTACAAATAAACATATATACAAAGATTAAAATTCTTTATCATTTAATGTAGACAGTGGTAACAGGCAGGCTGTATATATTATGTACATCTACACCATACATATAGATATATATGTATACTACATATTATATACACTATACATATGCATATATACTATACATATTACACATGTGTGTTTGTACACACACACATACACACACCTTTAGAGAGTAGTGTGGCGGAGACACATTGCTATGACCCATTTTCCTTAGAAACATTTGGCCTCTCTTGGAGCTGACCCAGCGGGACCATCCCGGAGCTTGGGCTGACCTGCCCTTCAGTCATGGAATAAGGTGCACTGCAGCTGGCACAGTTGCTCCTTAAGTTCTGGATGTCTGACCGCCCTAGGGGGTGAGTAAGTAGTCTTGATTAAGGGCAGGTCCAAGAACCCCATCTCAAAATAAGCGACGCCCCCTTGGCTGGCAGGTCCTGTCCTCAGCTGGCTTCCGTGGCCTTGCTCCACCCATGTGTGTCAGGGACCACACACAGACAGAAGAGGAACACCAAGGAAGATGCATGAAGGGGGCGAGTAGGAAGCGGGCCAGCCCCGGCTCACACCGCAGAGGCCTCTGAGACAAATGATCTGGGAGGAAGGAAGGAAAAAAGAATGGGGGTTGATTTTTTTTTTTTTAGCCAAGAATTAAGGAAGAGGTCAGAACAAATCTATCCCACATTACTGTGATTTTTCACTTTGCCTTTCTCTTTCAAAGGGTTGCCCAAATCATGGCTCAGATGACACCAGATTCAACCAACAATACTGTCACAACCCCACGCACACACCCGAAAAAGGCTCCCAAGTTCATTGCCAGCCATAGCAAATACGGAGGGACCTGGTGAGATTCACACCGCAGACAGAGACCCCTTGAGGCTGAGCAGAAGCTGAGCTGGGCCGCACCACTGTTGGACTGCATCTAGCTGTATGCCTGAGTGTTGTCCTTTGAGCCTCTCAGCTGCCAGCACCTGTTGTCCACACCCCTAATATCACTTGGTTTATTTCCTGATTTTACAAATTCAAAATTCAAATCACAAAGATAAGCACTGCACAGCCGTGAGGCTCTGGGGCTCATCCTGCCTCTGTTCTCTCTTCCTTACAGTACTGGAGTTTGAACTCAAGGCCCTGCCCTTGTTAGGCCAGCTCTCTACCACTGAGCCACGCCATCAGCCCTTGGGAAATTTTCAGTCTTGCATTTTTGCCTGGGGAGCCAGTCTCATACTGCAGTCCTCCTGCTCCTGCCTGTGCCCAGTAGCTGAGATTACATGAACACAATACTCCCTACTTGTTTGTTGAGATGGGGTCTCACTAATTTTTGGCCTTAAAAAATGGTTTGACTAGCTAGGCGCTGGTGGCTTACGCCTGTCACACTACTCAGGAGGCTGAGATCTGAGGATTGTAGTTCAAAACCAACCCGGGCAGGAAACTCCATGAAACTTTTTTTGGGGTTAGTCTTGGGGCTTGAAGTCAGGGCCTGTGTGTTGTCCCTGAAATTTTCTGTACAAGGCTAGTGCTCTGCCACTTGAGCCACAGCGCCGCTTCTGGCTTTTTCGGTGTATATGGTACTGAGAAATCAAACCCAGGGCTTCAAGTATGCTAGACAAGCACTCTGCCACTAAGCAACATTCCCAGTCCCCATAAGACTCTTATCTCCCATTAATCACCAGAAAACTGAAAGTAGCGCTGTGGCTGAAGTGGTAGAAGGCTAATCTTGAGCTGAAGAGCTGAGGGACAGCACCCAGGCCCATATTCCAAGGCCCATGATGGACAAAAAAAAAAAAGGTTTGACTGACCTTGAACTATGATCCTCCTAGTCTGCACTTACCAAGTAGCTGATATTATATCTGTGCACCATCCCAGCCTTTCAGAACTGGTTAAATAGGATTAATTTTAAGTTAAAACAGCTAGATGTATCGCTCAATGGTGGAACATTTTCTTAGCATGCACAAGGCCCTGAATTCTATCCCAGCAACACCAAATCCTCAAATCTCCCCTAATGTCTAGCAGTAGTGGTAGTGGGATCTATCTGTCATCCCTAGGAGATAGGAAGATCACTTGAGCCCAAGAGTTCAAAACAAAATTAGACAAAAAGCAACACCACATCATGAAAATAAGCAAACAAAAATTCCGCCCTCTCAGAATACATATGGTGAATACATATGTCTTACAGAGAAGATGGATAACGATAATATCTCAGTGGCAATATATTGTTTAATTTCCATTTTAAATCCTTTGCTTCTTAGAAACTTAAGATTTCTTTCCCTCTTGTAAGATGATTTGTTTTTAGTGTTGTGTGAACAAGCCCTTTAAGACTATTTTACATATTTGTGCTTGACATTCTGGTGTCATTAAAGTAGATTTCTCGGAATAAGGACATCTTAAATATGCAGTTCCTATAAAAAGACTAAATTGCTGGTGTATTGATTTTTTAGGATAATGGTTTCTATAGACCTGTGTTGTCAGAAGCCCTGTGGGAAGGCCCTCTGGAGTTGCTTAGCCCTAAAAGCCCTGAATTATAAAAAAAAAAAAAAAAACTAATGGAACCTGTAATATTTTTGCACAGCACAGTATGAGATTGTTGGCTGGAGCTGGAATCGTGATGACTTTGCAGGCAGTGCTCGCGGAGAGTGCTCTGAGGCTGCAAGTCGCTGCCGTCCAGCGTGTGTGGCCCGGGCTTCTCCTGTGTCATCACCTACAGACAGTTGAGAGCGAGCAGGACCTGAGCTGCGCCACCTCTGTGCTGAGCCCGCTGCGCAGCGGCCCTGGCGCAGCGTCTAACCCCCGAGCCTGCTTCCTTCCATCTCCCTCTCTTTCAGCTCCTGAATTACTTTGGTTTTTTCTTTTTTTGAGATACAGGGTCTTGCTCTGTAGCCCAGGCTGGCTTTGAACTCAAAATCTTGCTGCCTTTTCCCAGAGTGCTGAGACTACAGTGCTGAGCTACCAGCTTTGCTGCTTCATCTAATTTATTGTTCAGGTGACATATAGAGGATTATAGTTACATAGGTCAGGTAACGAGTACATTTCTTTTTGAACAGTCACCTCTTCCCTTGTTTCAGCTTTGCTTTTGAATAAGAGATAGGATGTAGGCTAGAGAGAAGTGGCCAAAATGAAAACTAGAAGGCAGTATAGAAAGAGATAGCATTGGGGGTAGGAGGTTAAAGACGTGTTAGCTTGCTTTTTCTGCAAAGGGTCAAATTCTGAATATTTTAGGCTTTAGGCTTGACTGGTTTCTAATTAAATTTTACTTACAAAAATAGGCAACCAAACCAGGCAGGGTAATATACACCTGTAATCCCAGCCCTCGGGGGCTAGGCAGAATGGAGAGTTTGAGGTCATCCGGGGCTTCTGTAGCAAGACCTTGTCTCAAACAAAAAAAAAAAAGCAGGTCTCTTCCCTTGGTCTATAGTTTGCCAACCTGTGCATACAAAGTAATGTCTCTATAGTAAACCAGCTCTAAGAGAAATTCTAAGAGAAGTCCCCAAGATATTTTGAGTACAGAACATTATTTAGTAAGTTCTGTTACTTTCTCATGGGAACCTAGGACAGTAGTCTTTGATGTTAAAAGTTGTTTGTGTGTGTACATACTTGCATACACATGGTGAGGTTTGAACTCAAGGCCTTACTTTTTGAAAGGAGCTCTGCTGCTCTTTTGGGATAGGTCTTGTGCTTTCTCCTTGGCCAGCCTGGACTGCATGCTGCTATCCAGGGTTTCCCATGTCACTGGAATCACACCTGGCGCATTTGTTGAGACTGAGTCTTGCTTCCTTTTTATGATCCTCCTGATCTCTGCCTCCTGAGTAAGTGGGATTCCAGGTATACACAATTCGGTATTAAAGGTATCTGAAGTTTCACGTTTATTTCTTAAAGCCTGCTGCTGAATGGAAAAGCGGGTTGAGCTTCTGCCTCGTTTTAAGTAAGACGCAGCCCAGTGATGATACAGAGAGCAATGTGTGGTCGGCTCAGCAATGCTCCCGGGGAGCCTCGGCTCCGGCCCTCCCAGCCCCTGGCCTGAGTGTCACCTGGGGCCTGATCCTTGGGTCGGGTCAGGGCTCAGGAGAATCCAGGGTTTTGTGGGGGCTATATCACCCACACAGAAGTGAAGGTTTTAACCCTGTTAGATTTGGGGCATTGTAAATTTTTTCTATAGAAAGTAGATGCATCTGCCGGGCACTGGTGGCTCACGCCTGTAATCCTAGCTACTCAGGAAGCTGAGATCTGAGGATCTCGGTTCAAAGCCAGCCTGGGCAGGAAACTCCGTGAGACTCTTATCTCCAATAAACCACTAGAAAACTGGAAGTGGCGCTGTGGCTCAAGCGGTAGAGCGCTCGCCTTGAGCTGAAGAGCAGAGGGACAGTGCCCAGGCCCAGAGTTCAAGCCCCACTACCAACCAAAAAAAAAAAAAAAATAGTAGATATATCTGCTAGAAAAAGAAACCTGAGTCCCTGTTGAGTCAAATTAGCCTGTTGTGGTTCCATGAGGAATATTGTTGCTATTTCCCGGCTCTTCTGCCCCTTGCCAGGTTGTCCCGGCGGAGGGGCTGGTCTCCATACTGAAGAAGAGGACCGACTCTGTAGGACAGCGCCCTGCCCAAATGCCGCAGAGGCCGTCTAAGCGAAGAGTGAGGTTCCAGGAAGCAGAAGACCACCTGGGTCCAGGTAAACCCCCAGCCTGGGCCCAGCAGTGCTGACGGCCAGTGTTCACTGACTCTAACATCGCTGCGTGACGTGGTCTTTGCCTACAAGATTTGTAAGGAGTTTAGAAGCTTGGTTGCTTTATCTTCTTTGGGAGACACATTTTAAAAAGGAAACCATCTTAAATTATTTTGCAACAGTTTTGCACAAATAAGTAAACCAAATCCAACTCCTCAGCTTGTAGTCCTCAGCATTGAGAACGCATTTCATGCCCTTTCTTCTTTTGTTGTTTATGACCTTCTGGTTTTGTCATCTTTATAGTGACCAGATAAAACTCGTGCTTCGTGTGGGAAGCTCGTGCACACACGCACTCACGAGCGGTCTGTGCCGTGGCAGAGTGCCTCCAGGAGGACAGCCTGCTGCTGTGCTTGGCTCTCTTCAGGCCTACACTTAGGTGCCTGCGGCAGCCAACAGGGCAGCTGTGTGGGTGCAGATAGAGGCTTCTCCAGGGCTCGGGTAAATCAGGGCAAGTAGACCTACGGCCCAGAACCTGCCGGAGTGTTTCTCGCAAGTGTGAAGCAGCTTCCTTGTGGCTGTGACAGGAAGAGCTGTGATGCTGCGTGAGGCCTGCACCTGTGTGGCCCTGCCCCAGCCTCCTCCACCCGCAGCTTTCCATGTTGGCCGCTCCCTTGGCCTGAGTAGCTGCTTAGAGAGAAGAACCCAGGTGTGGGATTCTCAGGCCACTTCACTTAGTAGCCACCTCGTGCCACAGTGTCACTAACTTAGGAGAGAGACTCAAGGCCGTCATTCTAAACGGAAATGAGCAGCATTGCGTCTGACGCTGTGGGGTGTCAGCGTCAGCCCTCAGGAGTTGCTCTAGTGTGAAGCTGCAGTAACTGGCCTTACTCTGTCGGTTTGCCTTGTGGTGACGAGACCTCCTCCCTCCTCTCATTTGCAGATGAAGCTGGAGGCGGCTCCTGTATCTTACTGCTCCTGCTGTGTATAGCCACGGTGTTGCTCAGCATGGGTGGCACAGCGCTCTACTGCACTTTTGGTGACGTGGAGTCGCCTGTCTGTACGGACTTTGCAGACAACATGGACTTCTATTACACCAAGCTCCTTCAGGGAATGGCAGAAGTCAAACATTGGATCTACCTCTCCTAGGACCGGTCAGCAGGGACAGGCTTGCTGGCCGTGAGAATGAAATGCAAAACTTCCTGAACAGCTTTTGTTTCAGTTCTGAAATGCTCCCTTCCCCAGGACGTCAGAAAGAGCGGCTGGGAAGGGCGATCCGAAGGGCCTGAGAATGGCCGCGTGAGGACAGGAGTGGTGCGTGGGACACAGGCCTGCCGCCGGCTGCCCTGGGCTGCGGGGCACTGCGCGCAAGTGGCCGCACTGCGCTCAGACCCCTGGTCAGTGGCGTCCACGACCTTCTACTCATTTGTTGGTTGTAGCTGTCACTTCACTTTCTCACGCAATAAGCTGGTATGTCACCAAAAAGTTACCTTATGGTTTCAGTGTCATCTTTTAGTTAGCCTTGGAAGCTGTGTAATTTTGGCTTTTGCATTGTTCCAGACTTCATTCTCCATTTGTAAAATGGCTGTGTGTATGGGTGTCCGTATGTACACCTGTGCGTGGGCTTCAGTTCCTATAAGCAAATATTGAGCCCATAGTAACAAAGATTATTCTTTTAACTTGACTATGATGTGCAGGCACAAATCTTTGAAGAAGGCTTAGATGAACTATAGAAATAGTGGCCCCAACATGAGAAACAGACAGATGTGTGGCAGTTAACTTGACTGATGTGCCAAGAATTAACCATAGGCCTGAAGGCAAGATTAAGGAGTTCCCTGAGTCCCAGGCAGGAATCCCCCTTGGACTCCACATGACACCCTGAGTGCTGGACCCTTTTCCACCCAGCAAACCACTCACTGAGCACCTAGTGTGTTCTGAGACTCTGCGGACTGGAATACCACCATGGGTAGGATAAAATTCACACTGGATGTCCACATAAAAGAAACCAGGGCTTCAGCAAGTGAAATCAAACCACCATCTGTAATTCAGTTTTGCAGATCTCTAATCTGCTTGATGTGCATTCTATCGTGGTTTGATTTAGACCCTAGTTGGCGGTCTAAGCAGAAATTCAATTATACCTTATTCACATAGGCCAGTATCGCTTTATTTAAATTCCTCATTCAGCAGCCTTTCCTTCCGTAAGGTACAGTGGCCTGATATCTAGAAAGCCTTGCTTTGACTTTTTATATCTTAAGCAACACTTAAAAAAGCAAACAAACATGAACTATAGTTTTTTTAGCAAGTGTTTTTCTGTTAGCAGCATCATCAGAAAGGAGAAGGGAGACATGGATTTACATTGCGACTGGCCGGCTCAGTACCTCCCTGCCTGCTTCTGCTTCTTTATTTAGGCCACGGAACCTTCAAGGGCTTTTTGTAGAGGCTGGATGTATGCTGCTGAGCACGCATTCACTTCTCCCAATGCCACATTTAATTATGGCTTTTCTATCATTTCAGTTCCGTGTGTTTTTTAAGTTGTTTTCGCCTACAATGCTGTTTGACTTGTCTATCATGAACTGTAATATTTTCAATGGTTGCAGATCAAAGTTATTTATTTAGAAGTGTACAAGATAAGAAATTTAGATTCCTTATACTGAAGGCTGATTTTATTAGAAGATTATTTTAATGTCTTATAAATTTTAAGAATTTGTAATCGAATTGTATGTAAAATAGTAACACTTCCCATGGTACTGTCCAACGCAGTTCTATGAACATCACTTGGGAATTTCTGTAGGGTCTCCTTGTCACAGACAAACCCCTTCTGCTTCTGCCCTTGTCATTTCCAGTTGCAGGAATTTGACAATCCTTCTCCTGAGAGAAGTTAGAGTTGCCCTCCTCCTCACACCCTTGGGTCAAGGTCAGAGACCCCAATAATCTCCCCATGCGTCCCCTCACAGGATCTGACCTGACACCCGCGGGGCCCTGCAGGGCCTCCCCTTCCAGGGACAGCAAGGAGCCTGGGGCACCCTGATGTCTCCCTCAAAGGAGGTGTGAAATCTCACCTAGAAAATGATGGCAACTCTTAGAAATGTAATCATCATTTATTGCATGACTTGGAGCAATCCACCTGGTAATGAAAGCACATAAAGAACACATCGGTTTACCAAAATATAATTTCTTCTCTCATTTCAAAGCACTGTCAACTATTTCTACCTAGTCTTCCTTAAGAACTGTATTGGAGGGCATCAAATCGAGCTTGTGATTTAAAATCTCCACCAACCAAGTGTCTCAGAGACTTTATTTGAACCCTGAGTGTAAAAGAAAAGCAAAATGACTTCAGTAATGGTCCAGGCCCCCGGAGGAGCCATCTGTTTGGGAAGTCTCCGTGGGTCCCTAAGTAAAGCCTCCTTCACTGCCAAAACACTCCCTTACCCACGCCTGCCAGCCCGGCAGAGCCCACTCGAGACCCTCCTTTCCCCTGGCAAGCTAAAGTCATTAGTGGAGACTTGAGGTGGGAGACTTCCTCTCGCAAGGAGGGATGGACGCTGGCTCTTCTGGAATGAGAGGAGGGGTGAGGAGCAGGGATGAAGAAGGGGTTCAGGGCAGGGGGAGGGAAAGCAGGGAAGGAAAAGAAACAAGAAAGCAGCTCTTAGCCTGCTCTCCTCGTGCCAAGCTTAGGATCTGTACGCCCTCTATGAAGACAGACTGAACTGTTATCTTACTCTCACCTGGCCTATATTAACTCGCTTCAGTTCTTTGGGCTCTTTTTTGTTTTGTTTTGTTTTTGTCAGTCATGGGGCTTGAACTCTGGGCCTGGGCGCTGTCCCTCAGCTCTTCAGCTGAAGGCAAGCGCTCTACCACTTGAGCCACAGCACCACTTCCAGCTTTTTCTGTGTACGTGGTGCTGAGGAATGGAACCCAAGGCCTCATGCATGCGAGGCAAGCGCTCTACCACTGAGCCACCTTCCCAGCCTCTTGAGCTCAGTTTTTATAACTCCAAAATCTATTTTATTTTACATTCTATCATGTTGCCTTCACCTTTAAAAATAAATAAGAGTGTGCTGGGTGGGCACTGGTGGCTCAAGCCTGTAATCCTACTCAGAAGGCTGAGATCTGAGGATTGTGACTCATAGCCGGCTGGGCAAGAAAGTTCCCATTAGCTACCAAAAAGCTGGAAATGAAGCTGTGGCTCAGGGTAGTAGAGTGCTAGCCTTGGGTACCTTCATTCAGGAGCAGGGCCCCCAGGGCCCAGGGTAGTAGGGGCGCATGGCATGTGGGGTGGGAGTTACCCTGGGCTTCTCTGGCAGGCCACTTGTGTGTGCATTGGTGCCTGGAGTTGGCACAAGTCCAGGCTGTCTGGTTGTTGCACAGAACATACTAAAAATTGCTGTATCTGAAATTCAGGTGCCGTGGGAGTCCTGTGGGTTTTAATCTGACGCTCCTGTCAGGGCTCTGGTATGGCACAGACACTGAGGCACAGAGCGGCAGGAGGGCTGGTGGTGCCGGAGAGCAGCGGGTCAGTCGCTGCAGCCTCCTTCCCGGCCTTCCTGGCCGCCCCTGCCACGGCTTCCAAACAACAAAGGTCATAAGGGGTCCGAAGTTGACGATCTCTTTTTATTAGCACATTAATTGTTTTCATTGTGGTACTTCTGTACTGGCATACGAGGTACCCAGCACCTTCACCTCTGTCACACTCTCAACCCTCTCCCCCAGGGAGTCAGAATTTGGCGGCATTTGAGGTGCTCAGAATTGGGGCTGGCATGCATTGGTGGAGCACCTGCCTTCATACGCACAAGCCCCAAGTTTAAACCCAGTACTGTCAGAAAAACAAAAGCTTCTTAGATCTCTAAAATTTCCATTTTTTATTCACAAAGTGAGAGCTACCAGAAATCTAACATCTTCCAGACGCCGTGCTGCATCTCCCACGGGGCCACTTTGCGGACCAGACCCATGCGCTTTGTGGAGAAAGGGCAGCCAGTCCCGAGCCCTGCCTGGGCCCCCCCACGGATGCTATTTTCCGTAGTATTGAGGCTTCAGTAATTACGGAAAGGGGAAAAATAACTATTTGTAACCTAACAGGGACAAGTACAGATGAAGACTGCGTCCACCTCAGACAAGAGAACCCGACTTTGGAGTCTGTCTTTCGAGACCACAGCTCTTGCTTTGCAGGAAGGGCTTTTAAAAGGGTGAAAAGGCTGAGGCAGACCCCTGGCAAACTAATACTGGTGCCCGACTTCTGCCTCAGACTATGCGCCTCCTGGAAAGAATGGGTTTTTAGTCGCCTTCTGTGTACATAGCTGTTAGTCCTTCTACCCCCGGCTGTCCGAGAGCACCCTGGATGAAGTGGTGCAGCCTCGGGTGTGCCGGGTGTGCGCCTTGCCACTCTGCCCTGTGATGCCGCTCTGCCGGCTCACCCCGCTCCTGTCCAGCCTCACACACTTCTCAGGGCCGTTGGGCCAGGTGCGGGCAGAGGCCCTGAGCTGACGCAGTCAGATGTGAGGGACAGCAAGACGAGGTGGTGAGGCACGGGCAGTGGTCTCCCAGCCCCGGCCAGGCGGCCCGCTGCTCCTGAAAGATGACCGAGAAACGTCTGCTACTCACCTCACAGTTCTGAGGTCTGAGGTTGCAGTTCATGACCCACGTGCCATGGTGCTTTGGGCATGAGTAGAAGTGAGGTTTCCTTTGAGGGATATTCACCGCCCACAAGCCCCATCTCTGACAGGCTCTGCTACCTCCCCAAACTACAAAGCTGGCCCCACCAGGGCTGTGAGGGCCGGAAGGAGTCAATAAATGCTGTCAGGTCAGGTCCATCTTTCTGCCTATATAAGCTCATGAAATTCTCTCTTGTTTTTCTCGTTGGGGATTTTTCCCTCTTCCCCTCTCTTGGGTGATTTAGATTCCCGCCTCTGGCAGCCGCACAGAGGCCTAGCATTTGTTGTTATTCTTACTTGCATTTTGCTTGGGGTCTGGGCTCTGTCTCTGAGCTTCTTTTGCTCAAGGATGGCATCTACCACTTGAGCCACAGCACCACTTCTGGCTTTTTCTGTATAGTTTTATTTGAGATAAGAGTCTCATGGACCTTCCTGCCTGGTCTGGCTTCAAACCGCAATCCTCAGATCTTAGTCTTCTGAGTGGCTAGGATGACAGGCCAAGCCAGGGTTAGGATTTTTATGGATGCCACCAGAACCAGGTCTTGATGCATTACTACATTCAGTGTAAGCAGAAAAGACAGACAGGAAAACAAAATCAAAGCAAGGCAAAAGTTTGAGAGCTCCAGCGCCTGTTTATCCCAGTTTTAGACAAGTTCCATTTTAAGAAGGCCCAGATCAGAATAACTCCAGGGCCTCCTCCAACTGTGAGAGCCAAGACTTGACACCTCTGCGGGTTTCCATGGCTACCATCAGCAGCTACAGTAATGCCAAAGCAAGAAACAGAAAAATGAGCAATTCTACCTTTTCTTGTGTGGCCAGATAATCAATTTATTTTAAAAGAAGGTGCAGCTCACAAAACCCACCTGTCTGTCTCAGTCCTCCCTGGTGCTGGAGGTAGAGGTGAAGGAAGAGGAAGAAAAGACTCCCTCTCCTCCAGGGCTGGAGTCCCTCCCGGAAGCACTTCTTGCTGCTCTGAAGCGCTGACTTAGTGACCAGCTCTAGTTGCACAGTTGGGCTTTCATGAATCCTGGGGATGAGGCTCCACATAGTCCTGGGCTTACGCCTCCCAGGCAGGTGGTTCCAGGGCCCAGGCGGTGGCTGAGACCCTGCTCCTGCACACGCTGGGGCTTCTGGGTTGAAATGGGAGGCAGAGGCCTCTGGTCTCTTGGGAAGACCAAGCTGGGCCCTGCGTGCTTCAGTTCTGCATCCTTGTTTCCCTCCCTGGATAAGGAGCCCTGAGGACAGCGGTGCTCTCTCCTTACCTCCTGCCCACACCCTCTTCCACACACTCAGCTGCAAAACCCGAGTCAGGGGCCTTCCTCAGCACAAGACTTGGGTTTTCTGCTCCTTCTGCTCACCTGTGTGGGTGAAGCCAGGGTTCAGACCCAGGCTGAAGCTCCAGGAGTTCCACCTGAGGTCCGGTCACCTGCCTCTGTATGCCAAATGAAGAGACATGGGGCAGAGGAAGGTTTCTCATGTGGCCTGGGCAGCGCTCTGTTGCATCTTTAGCTCTTCCCTGAGTAGACAGGGGCTGGGGACAGGTTTGTATAGTTAAAACAGTCCCAAATCCCAGCCTGGTCAGAGGCTGACAGCTGGCTGGTGGACAAGGTCCTTCCTGGATGCCACAATAGCTGTACAGCGGCTGCAGGAGAGAACGGGAAAGGGCAACGGACATCGGTACAAAGCGGAGACGGCTAGCGTGCTCCCTTTATCCTGCCCCCAGCTCAGCTGTGGGCCAGGTAAGGGGCCAGGTTTCCCAGCAAAGCAGTTAAGCCCCTTTACACTGGTGGCTGCATCAGCCCACTTTTAAACCCACGGTCCACCTACCTCAGCCTCCTGAGTGCTGCGATTACCGGTTTTTGATAGGGTCCCGCACTGGAATTGAGCTCAGGATTTGTGCTTGCTAGGCAGGTGCTCTGCTCCTGGATAAGCTTCTTGATTGAAGGAAGAAAGCCAAATTGTTTTGAGTACGTGTGTCTCACCCGTATGCTGCTTCTTGGGGGGCAGTCTGGTGGGGTTCCCGAGGCAAGCGCTTACTTTCGGAAAGACCCGGATTTAGATCCCATTTCTCCCACATCCTGGTTTTAACAGAAACCTGAAATCCTGAAAAGGAAAATTCTGGAAGGCCCTGGGGTCTGTGCATTTTGGCCAGTGTGGCAGAGAGGTTTTCTTATTCTGTGCTTGCTGGGTGCTGGGTGCAGCCCCCGGCCCAACAGACACAGCATTGCTAAGGAGCACAGGGCAGCGGCCAGGGCGGGCTTCCCGGCCACACGCTGAGCCAAGTAGAGAAATGCAGCAACTGAGCCTCGTGCTCAGGGCCTGGAGTAAGATGTGGGCCTCTCCGGGTTTTCATTCACTCTGCAGTTGTTTATCCCCACAGCAAAGCCATGAGACTCATGGCTTCCTAAAGACACACAACTGCCAAGTGATGAAGCTGAGCTCGAACCCAGGTCCGGAGGGCCTTAAAGCCCCGAGGGTTTAAGAACAGAAACCAGTACCAGCCACCCCTGCCTGAGGAGGCTGGAGGCCGGGCGACTTCTCCAGAGCCGCTGACGCGCTACTGCTGCAGCTGGGATTAGAGCAGGTCTGTCCCCCGCGAGGCCCCTGCGCAGCCTTTGCACCCCATCCTTTCCTCATGCTACACCAGACACCCCTGCGGGGCGGCCACACATGAGGGGATCTCGGTGGAGGGAGGGCCTGGGGGGAAACTGAGGCCCAGGTACTGTCATTCCAGGCTCCCCACCGTCTTCCGGTGGTTTAC